AAAAAAATGAAATTTTATCGAAAATTAGAAAATTTCTTATAAAAAAATTTTAGCGAAAAGTTCCTATAATAAGAAATTAAATTAAAAATTTCCTATAATATGAGATTTATCGAAATTTTATAGAAAATAATAAGAAATTTAATTAAAAATTTCTTATAATATGAGATTTATTGAAAATTTTCTTTAATTAAAAAAGAATTTTCTGTAGAATGAAATTTTCTCTAAAACTTTCTATAAAAGAAAATTTCTTGAAAATGTTTTTAAAAAGACATTTTTTAGAAAATATTCTATAAAGTTAATTTTCTTAGAAATCTTCCATAAAAGATTTTCTTGAAATTTTCACTTGAAAATGTTCTATAACAGAAAATTTCTCGAAAATGTTCTATAAAAAGAAAAAAAAAGTTTTAAGTAAAAAGAAATATTGTATAAAAGTAAGTTTACCAACTATTTTCTACAATAAGTAAATTTGGCAAAAATTTCAACAAAATTCTCTCAATTTATAGGAAATATTCGGTAAATTCTCTTTCTCGATCTAAATTTATAAAACAGTTTTCATAAATTTCAGTTGAAGTTTTTATGTAGGGTGCAAAAACCACATGCTTTTTGTTCCAGCAAAACATCCTTAATTTTCTATAGTTTTGTTCATTAAATATTTAGGAATACAAACGGCACATGATTAAATCAAAGACTAAGAAACAGAACAAAAAGTAAAGATTAGGGCACAAAAAAATCAAAATACAAAGAAAATTTAATAAAAAAACACATTCACTCCTTGCAACATACACAAAGAGAGGAACAACATAAACACACCCATAGAACGTTTAATGTTGCAGTGGCAAAGATAAGGCATCAACAACAACAATAAGAATGACAACAAAAACTTATAATATAAACATGTGTGTTAAATCTTTTAACACTAGATTGTGTCGAGATTTCTTTTCTCCATTATAGCCATGTAGGTAAGTTTGTTTGTTTGCCAACATACAACACAAAAGTAGTGTAGTAGTGCAACAACACTAGAGGCACTGCAAACTGCTACTGCAGCAGGAGCAACAACATGTTACTAAGTATGTAGCATTTTTTCCCGATTGGTAGATGTTTGTATGTGTGTTAATTTTTTTTCTCACACCCATAATGAAAAGAAACTTTTGTTTTTTAAACAAAAAACTAAGAAAAAATACAAACATTTTACAAAAAGCACAAAACTTTGCCGTTCATTGACATAATAATCTGTATAAATAATAAAACAACTACAACAAATGGTGGCACACTTGGCATTCGTTGTTGTCGTCTCTTACTTTTTTAATAAAAATAAAATTTTATTTCCGTTCCACTGACACTACCAGTTATGGTTGCTACAAACCAAAACAACACAGAAATTGTGAACAAAAAAGGTTAAAGGAAAATATATTTATTAGTGTTGTTTTTATAAGCCACCTGGGAAAATTTAATTGCAATAATAAAACTGACACGTTTTAATTTGTAACTATTAATATTAAAGTTAAACTAACTTTCATTCTATTTGGTGGAAATAAAAATCAAAAAAATATCATTCAATTTCTTAAGTGATTTAAAATACGTAAATAGTGAAAAACTACCCTGCTTTTAGAATAAAAAAACTAATTTGCATTTTATAACGTTGCCCCCAACAGCCACAAATCGTTAAATTAATATTTAAATACGCAATTAATTTACTGCTGATTATCATGAATAAATAGAGATTGGTTGGGAGAAGAATTAAATTTCTTGTCATAAAACTTAGAGCTAATTTACTTTTATATATTTTATAGACAATTCTTTATAGAATATTCTCTATAAATTAATATAATATTTTTAAAAATATTCTTTTTATAAAAAATATTCGAAAAAATTTCTTTTAAAAGAAATTATTCCACAATTTTATTTTTAGAGAAATTTTTTAAAATTTTATTTTTAATAAATTTTCTTTTTATAGAAAACTTTAGATAAATATTTTCTTATACAAATATTCGATAAATTTTTATTTAGATAGAAACTTTTTATAAATTTTCTTTTAAATAGAAAATTTTGATAAAATTTCGTTTTTATAGAAAATTGTAGATAAATTTTCGTTTTTATTGAAAATTTTGATAAATTTTCTTTATAAAAAATTTCTATAAGTTTTCTTTTTACAAAGAATTTTTTTTTCGTAGAAAATTTCGATAAATTTTCCCAGTTTTATTCTAGTTCAGTTCTAGTTCAGTTCTAGTTCTGCTCTAGTTCAGTTCTAGTTCAGTTCTAGTTCAGTTCTAGTTCAGTTCTAGTTCAGTTCTAGTTCAGTTCTAGTTCAGTTCTAGTTCAGTCTAGTTCAGTTCTAGTTCAGTTCTAGTTCAGTTCTAGTTCAGTTCTAGTTCAGTTCTAGTTCAGTTCTAGTTCAGTTCTAGTTCAGTTCTAGTTCAGTTCTAGTTCAGTTCTAGTTCAGTTCTAGTTCAGTTCTAGTTCAGTAGTTCAGTTCTAGTTCAGTTCTAGTTCAGTTCTAGTTCAGTTCAGTTCTAGTTCAGTTCTAGTTCAGTTCTAGTTCAGTTCTAGTTCAGTTCTAGTTCAGTTCTAGTTCAGTTCTAGTTCAGTTCTAGTTCAGTTCTAGTTCAGTTCTAGTTCAGTTCTAGTTCAGTTCTAGTTCAGTTCTAGTTCAGTTCTAGTTCAGTTCTAGTTCAGTTCTAGTTCAGTTCTAGTTCAGTTCTAGTTCAGTTCTAGTTCAGTTCTAGTTCAGTTCTAGTTCAGTTCTAGTTCAGTTCTAGTTCAGTTCTAGTTCAGTTCTAGTTCAGTTCTAGTTCAGATTCTAGTTCAGTTCTAGTTCAGTTCTAGTTCAGTTCTAGTTCAGTCAGTTCAGTTCTAGTTCAGTTCTAGTTCTGTTCTAGTTCTGTTCTAGTTCTGTTCTAGTTCTGTTCTAGTTCTGTTCTAGTTCTGTTCTAGTTCTGTTCTAGTTCTGTTCTAGTTCTGTTCTAGTTCTGTTCTAGTTCTGTTCTAGTTCTGTTCTAGTTCTGTTCTAGTTCTGTTCTAGTTCTGTTCTAGTTCTGTTCTAGTTATGTTCTAGTTCTGTTCTAGTTCTGTTCTAGTTCTGTTCTAGTTCTAGTTCTGTTCTAGTTTTGTTCTAGTTCTGTTCTAGTTCTGTTCTAGTTCTGTTCTAGTTCTGTTCTAGTTCTAGTTCTGTTCTAGTTCTGTTCTAGTTCCGTTCTAGTTCTGTTCTAGTTCTGTTCTAGTTCTGTTCTAGTTCTGTTCTAGTTCTGTTCTAGTTCTGTTCTAGTTCTGTTCTAGTTCTGTTCTAGTTCTGTTCTAGTTCTGTTCTAGTTCTGTTCTAGTTCTGTTCTAGTTCCGTTCTAGTTCTGTTCTAGTTCTGTTCTAGTTCTGTTCTAGTTCTGTTCTAGTTCTGTTCTAGTTCTGTTCTAGTTCTGTTCTAGTTCTGTTCTAGTTCTGTTCTAGATCTGTTCTAGTTCTTGTTCTGTTTTTTATAAATGAATTTTTTATATAAAAATTTTTTGAACAATTTTTTTTCGATAATATTTTTAGTTAATTTTTCTTTTAATGTAAAATATTTAGATGATATTTTTTCGATGTAAAATTTTTAGATAAATTTGTCATAATCATTCAATATAAGTTCGTGAATATTGATTTATTTTCAAACCTATTACCCTTAAGGGTTTTTCATTGAAAACCATTTAGAATTAATATTTCAAATTTAATAAGTATGAAATCATTCCCAAATCTTTTCCTAAGCAGTGATATAACAACTTTTTATTACGTTAAAAAAACACAACAATTTGTATAAACTATTTTTTCACCATGTTCCATTTAAATGTACGAGTACAAATTAGTGCGCCTGGTATTCATAATAAATAGAGTGCAAATGTGCAAGTTTATTTTACAAAGTGCTTTTTTATAACAAAAAAAAATTGTAAAGAAAAACGAAATTGGAAAAAAATATAGTGTTGAATTCAAAAACAACCATAAATCATGCACCACATCATAAACAATAAAAAAAGTACAAGTGAAACTGAACTAAAACAAAAATTTGAAGCAACAACAGCAGCGTAATTTTCTAATACAAATTGAAAAGAAAAACTATTGCGGAAAAAAGCGTTAATAATTCTATAAAATTTATTGCATAAAGCACAACATACTAATAAGAATTTAACAAAATATATGAATAAATTAATTGCAATTATTTGCTAAATTATGCAGTCAGACTATCTCTAGGCTTGCAAAATTAAAAATTTCTTGTTAAATAATTCCAATTTTGTTAAGAAATTGAGAAAAAAAATATTGAAATTAATATTAAATGTATTTTTGTTTTTTTTTAATAATTTTTGGTTTTTTTTCTGTGTGCCAACCAACCTTCGGAATGGTGGTGTAGAAATCTGTTCCAGTTGTGTGCTGGATTGGTTTCTTTGTTGGTTACTTGAATGTCAATAAATATTTTGGTTTTCAATTTTTGGTTTCGCGCGATTTCACAAATAACAAGTGTATACATATTTTTTTTTTGGAACACAAATAAAACATGAGATTTTTTCACAAAAAAATAAAGAAAGAAACATTAAAAGTAATCAATATTAAATATCGTATGGTATTTTTTTTAAAATATATTTTTTGAGATTTTGACAGTAATAAAAAATAAACAAATTGAGAAATGATTAGTACCCAATAGAAGAACAGTTAGTAAAACACATAAATAAATAATTAAAATAAATGTATTGAAAATTTTAGAGAAAAATTATAAAAAAGTGTTTAAGTTTTTGCCCTAAATAAACATTAAATTTATCTTTAACAATTTAAGTTTTTTTTTTTAATTTTCAACAAGCACAACACAAGGAGTTTTGATATAAAAACTTAAAAATTTCCTACTTTAAAAATATATGACATAAATGAAATAATTTTCTTAAAATATTTCCATATAAGGATTGACAGGGAAACATTGACTAGTTTTTTACAATTGGAAATAATCTAAAAGGTTTAGTAAGTATACTATTTGAAATTTCATTACTTACTTGGCATTTTTAGGCCGTTTAGCATCGATTGGAAAATCATCATCGAAATCCAAATTGAAATCTTCTCCCAGATCTCTAGGCACCAATGGTGTTCTTTGATGGGCTGGACTTGTGTGATACCCATCGGCATGTAGCTGTTTTGTTTATAAATCATTTTAACAAATCATTCATTTTGTTTTTTTATATGTTTAAACAAATAATTTTTGATTTATTTTAAATGTTTGTTTTCAGTAACAAATGTTAGTGAGTGTTTACAATGTAGTGATTTGTTTTTGTGTTTATTTTGCCATAAATATTTAAGTGGAGTTTGTAAATGGGGAAGAAATTAATAAAAATATTATGTTAAAAAAAATTAATAAATTATTCTGGTTGATTTTTTTTATTACAAAACATATTTTTCTAATAAATCACTCAACATTCAACAAATGGTTATGAAATATTTTTTTTTTAATTGGAATTGAATAAAACGTGCAGAATATTATAAAACACTTATAGCAATTTTGAAGAAAAATTGTAAAGCATCTTTAATTTTAAAATAATATTTGTATCAAGACTTTTGAAGATTTGAAACTATTTTCGAGTATGGGTTTTATACACCAATTATCCCACTATTTTTCAGAATTCAGTGAAAACAGCAAAAGCTTCAAAAGATCGGAAACAGAGATATAAGCCGTCTTGGCTTAAATCGGCGGTGTCTGGTCGCCGGCCAAGTTTTGGCAAGCCGAAGAAAACTATTTTCGAGTATTTCTATTTTTTAGAATTCAGTGAAAACGGCAAGAGCTTCAAAAGATCGGAAACAGAGATATAAGCCGTCTTGGCTCAAATCGGCGGCGGTTGGTCGCCGGCCAATGGGATACACCAATTATCCCACTATTTTTCAGAATTCAGTGAAAACAGCAAAAGCTTCAAAAGATCGGAAACAGAGATATAAGCCGTCTTGGCTCAAATCGGCGGCGGTTGGTCGCCGGCCAAGTTTTGGCCGCCGACTGAAAAACTTATATTTTTCTTAAAAAATTTGAACTGAGTTGACACTTTTTTTCAGACAAATTGAAAAGAGTTGCCGCATAATTTTGTCATCATATATAAAAATTGTAAAAAACTGTTAGAAACAATTTTTCATAAAAACTACTGTAATAATGACAAGTTTCTATAGAAAACACTTTACAGATTTACTTTTCTATATAACAAACCAAAATAAACACATTTTTCTATATAACAAATGCATATATAGAAAATTTTGTGAAAAGAACAAATTCTCAGCATAGATTTAGCCGATATTTTAGCCGCCGGCGGTATATTTTATAACAAGCTGCCGCCACCGACCAAAAATGGTCGAGCCGCCGCCGTCGATCACTGTGCGTCGGCTTGTATCTCTGAACGGAAATTCGCTGCAGAATTCCGTTTAATGTAATACTGATTCGGTTCTGTTTTACATCTCTTCTAGTTCTGTTTTACTTCTGTTTCGGAATTTTTGTCATATCTTCCATATATATGGACCGATTTAGCTGATTTTAGAGTCTGGTGACGGTAGAGACAAAGTCACATCTGTCGATTTGGCAAAAGAACAAAAAATGGCTTCTCATGCTCTACGTGCTCAAAGCCTCAGTTCAGTCTGGATTAACGTACATGCCCTTGACACCTATATTGAAAACAATAGCTCAGAGGGTCAGTCGTAAATATAATTACATCGGTCATGGTACCAATCTATAAAAAGTAAGTAGACCGTATGCGAGGAGGCAGACTACTGCACAAACCTTTAATAGAACCCTCCGAATTCGAATAACAACAAGAGTAGACCGGGCTGTAAACACTGTCCTTCTCAGTCTACACTGTCCAAATCAAAGACTGTTATAGGTACTAACGCAAGTTAAATCAAATATGTTACATTCAATGCAATAGTTATTTCAAAATCAATAGTTATTTAGGTGAAGAAGATTCGGTACAAGCCTCTTATATGATCTGAACTGTTTCAAGGATCTGTCTCTAACGAATCTAATCAAATTTGTTTGAAGCACCTACTTCATCAATCGTTTTAAGACTCCGGAGAATGAATAAGACCGAGTTTTTATGGTTCGTATTCTTAGTTCACATCGCACTAACGGACATAACAAAATTGAAGTAACGGATTTCGACTAATGTACAGAATGAGGACAGTGAAACGTTAGCATTGACATGCATTTATAGAAATTAGATCCAAATATCTTGGGAGCGATGTTATTCCAGATATTGGATTCCTCAGGAAAATTGTAAAGAGCTGAGTTTCTGAACATTGGACGATACATCCTCCTTTCAACCTAACCTAACCTACCATCGAATTAAGAAGTTGAGGTTTTACAAATGATGAAATACATTTGAACAAAATTTGGTGATCTTTCCATTTGAACCAAAAGACTTCGAACTGGAATAACAAAATCCAAATAGGAATAATTTCAGTTGTAGTGCAAATCTGTTTAAGAGTTATATAAATCTTATTCTGAATAAATCACTTTATCTGATAGCTCTATTAAACGTTTGACAGGTGACCTTCATTTGGTAGTTAAATGCGATGGTCACGCTTAACTAAATAAATCTGAACATAAGCATAAACATTTTTGTAAAATAAACTATGTACAGTTGGCACATAAGTTGTAGGTTAATTGTATATTTCTTTCAATATGTATAAATATCGATATTTTGTATCCTAGGGATCTAAAGGAGAACAGTTAGTGGGATGAATCTTAACAAAATATTTAATCATAAATGTTCATTAAGCCCCCTTCATACGAGCACACAAGTAATATGATCTGTCAAAATTTTGTGTAGAAGAGAAAGGATGGGACCTTCTAAACGCAATATGTCTTGAAATCATCACACATTGAGAGAAAATAGGGATGGAAAATTTGACAGTTGTATGGCTCATTTTTTGAAATTATTCAAAAAACAAGCAAGTCGCATTAGATCAGGGATGTATTTTTATGTAAACACATGCAATAAAAGCGAAACAGCTGTTTCCATCTTACTATGTTATTGTTTCCAATCGTGTAAACACAAAGAATATAAATCATACGACTTTTATTATCTTTTTTGTTATACGAATGGAATTTAATTTTACTTTTTCATTAGACTTGTCGTACGTAAAGTGTGATCGCCCTTTACTGATGATGGGTCTACCAGAAAAGAGAAAAACATGTACCTCCGTCCGTCGTCGAAATCAAGGGTCTTAATCATTGGTGACCAACCTTGTAGTTTCGAAAAAAGTTTCTAAAACTGAATTTATTTGCATTAGGGCTTAATAGACCTAATATACAAAAGTAATGAAAAAAGAACTTTAAAAGCAACCCTGTATTGAATAATTGATTTATGACTAAAATAATATTGTTTATATCCCACTGTACTTATAGAATAATGCATTATAATGTTGAGTAACATTAATTGCTCGATTAATTTTTATCTATACGTATGGATTAAAAATAAACATTTATATTTACACCTTTCAACATTTCTGTAATTAAAAACCTTAAAAAAATTCATAACAATAGTAACAAAAACATATTGTGAAAAACAAATCATGCAAATGAATTAAACTATTTGTAAATCAAGTGTAATTTAAGCCGTGTTTTGTAAAAAAAGAACTAGTCTTTATATGAAATTTTGAATTTTTGAAAGTGTGGTTTAAATCTTATACGTTTTTGTTTCAATTCCAATTTTATGTTTGTTTTCAGTATGTTTTATGTATTAGATTAGCAAATCAACTAAGGAAATAGAACATGATATAATGAAAATTATTGTAAGGCAACTCATATAAACGATTAAAAGTCTAGCATTTGCGGCAGAATTTGAATTCGCAAACTTTCTGAATTGCAAAACAAATGACAAATTTAATCGTTTTAATGAGATGATGGATTAATTATAATAAAATTATGATTTTTTAAATAGAATTATATTGATGATGAATGTTGATGATGAATGATGAGTTTTTATTTTTTGAGCAACTTAATTATGAACAATTAAATTTAAATGAATTTATAAAAAAAATATATATTTTTAAAGAAAAGTAAAGGGCCAACATTACTCGTGCAAGGATAATTTTCATAACGAGGAAGTAGAAAAATAACAGCAGCAAACAATAAAATGTAAACTGTTCGGTAAAAAAATAAACAAATAAAATATGTTTATTGTTTTATTAAATATTAAATGGTAACACAGTAAATTTGTCCAAAATTTATGTAATTAGTTTTTTTTTTTTCAAATCCTTGTAACGAGTAGTCTGTTGTTACGCCCCTACCTTGACTATAGTGCCGACCTGTTGTAATTCAGCCGATTGACGATTGTCTAATAGATTTGCACGCTCCATTTGTTCCAAAGGTAATGATTCACGATTCTGATCGTTTAATAAACGTTCTCTCATCTCATGTATATAGGGACAACGCTGCATACCTTTTGGCTTTAGGCAATATTTGGTTATAGGATTTTGTTTACGGGATCAGGGGAAAAAAGGTTTTAATTACTTTTTAAGGTTTTTTGTTTGGGATAATTTTGTTTGATGTAAAAAAAGTGTAGAAAATCTAAATATTTTGTTAAGTTCTAAATATTTAGGTAGTATCAAAATTTGTGTAAAATATATTTTTGTTTTTTTTTTTTTTTGCGAAAAAATCAGTCAATTTTGTGGAAATTCCATTAGTTGTTATTGGTGTTTAGTTTTACTTGCTGGCTAATGATGGCAATACAAGGAGTTGGTCATGCTGTAAGTAAAAGAAAGAGAAAGGAAATATTAGTTAAGGTGAAATAAAATTTTATTATTTTCGATAATAATTTTAAGTTGTTGTTACAATGAATTCACATCACAACGAACATTGTGGATATCATAATCCTACTTTTGATGTCACGAATCCAAGTTTAGTCAAATCTATAGTCTAGTCTATAGTCTAGACTATAGTCTAGTCTATAGTCTAGACTATAGTCTAGTCTAGTCTATAGTCTAGTCTATAGTCTAGACTATAGTCTAGTCTATAGTCTAGACTATAGTCTAGTCTAGTCTAGTCTAGTCTAGTCTAGTCTAGTCTATAGTCTAGTCTATAGTAGTCTATATAGTCTAGTCTATAGTCTAGTTCTATAGCTAGTCTATAGTCTAGTCTATAGTCTAGTCTATAGTCTAGTCTATAGTCTAGTCTATAGTCTAGTCTATCGTCTACGTCTATAGTCTAGTCTATAGTCTAGTCTATAGTCTAGGTCTAGCGTCTAGTCTATAGTCTCGTCTATAGTCTAGTCTATAGTCTGTCTATAGTCTAGTCTAGTATAGTCTATAGTTAGTCATATAGTCAGTCTATAGTCTAGTCTATAGTCCTCAGTCTATAGTATAGTTATAGTCTAGTCTATGTCTAGTCTAGTCTAGCTATAGTCTAGTCTATAGTCTAGTCTATAGTCTAGTCTATAGTCTAGTCTATAGTCTAGTCTATAGTTCTAGTCTATCGTCTAGTCTATAGTCCTAGTCTATAGTCTAGTCTATAGTTCGTCTATAGTCTAGTCTATAGTCTAGTCTATAGTCTAGTCTATAGTCTAGTCTATAGTCTAGTCTATAGTCTAGTCTACGTAAGTCTAGTCTATAGTCTTTAGTCTATAGTCTAGTCTATAGTCTAGTCTCTACTAGTCTAGTATAGTTTAGTCTATAGTCTAGTCTATAGTCTAGTCTATAGTCTAGTCTTAGTCTAGTCTAGTCTATAGTCTAGTCTATAGTCTAGTCTATAGTCTAGTCTATAGTCTAGTCTATAGTCTAGTCTATAGTCTAGTCTATAGTCTAGTCTATAGTCTAGTCTATAGTCTAGTCTATAGTCTAGTCTATAGTCTAGTCTATAGTCTAGTCTATAGTCTAGTCTATAGTCTAGTCTATAGTCTAGTCTATAGTCTAGTCTATAGTCTAGTCTATAGTCTAGTCTATAGTCTAGTCTATAGTCTAGTCTATAGTCTAGTCTATAGTCTAGTCTATAGTCTAGTCTATAGTCTAGTCTATAGTCTAGTCTATAGTCTAGTCTATAGTCTAGTCTATAGTCTAGTCTATAGTCTAGTCTATAGTCTAGTCTATAGTCTAGTCTATAGTCTAGTCTATAGTCTAGTCTATAGTCTAGTCTATAGTCTAGTCTATAGTCTGGTCTATAGTCTAGTCTATAGTCTGGTCTATAGTCTAGTCTATAGTCTATAGTCTGGTCTATAGTCTAGTCTATAGTCTGGTCTATAGTCTAGTCTATAGTCTAGTCTATAGTCTAGTCTATAGTCTAGTCTATAGTCTAGTCAATAGTCTAGTCAATAGTCTAGTCAGTAGTCTAGTCTATAGTCTAGTCTAAAGTCTTGACTACAGTCTAGTCTATAATCTAGTCTATAGTCTAGTCTATAGTCTAGTCTATAGTCTAGTCTATAGGCTAGTCTATAGGCTAGTCTATAGTCTAGTCTATAGTCTATTCTATAGTCCAGTCTATAGCCTAGTCTATAGTCTATCTAACGATAAAAAGCTAAAAATCTTTACGTATAAATTAGTTTCGAAATCGTGCAAACTAAACATCTGGTACTACTACTCGATTTATGTGAAATAGATGACATAGTGAAGTTATGAAATTGCACAGCCTAGGATGGGCGCGCCTGACTAGAATAGATCACAATGCTAAACTACAACTTAAGAATAATGAGTATTCTAACTGGATAGGAATGGAAAAGAATAATTGATCAGGCTAGAGCTCATGCCGAGCTGTAACGTTATAAGATGATGACGATACTTTTATGAAATCCAAGCGTAAGCTGACCACTCTGCTCAAACGATAAAATTTTTTCGGGGCTATGTTTTATTTTGAAGTCTACGGTAATTAAGCGGGCAAATATAAAAGACAGGATGCCTTAGTTTATCCAAAATAACAAAGTGTGAAAAAAGATTCCGGTAATAAAATGAGATACGTCACCGACAGACAATGAAATCTCCAGAAGTCAGTTTTGGACTCTTAACCATTTTTCTGTGCAAAGTGAAGAGACTAACCTACCAATCGCAAACTCCAATCCATGACTTAAAAACTACAGAAATTAATCTGGAAAATTGACGGGCATCATAAGCTGCACCGATGGGACCATTATTAAAAAAATGATTATGATATTGTATTTCACCGATAGTGAATGAAATCTCCAAAAGTTACTGTTGGACTCCAAACCCCATTTCAGTCCAAGGTAAAAAACTAACAGCCTTAGTTTTAATAACTGTCAACTCTGCTATCCAAAATGACAAAGATTACGGTAATGAAATGAGATACGTCACCGACAGACAATGAAATCTCCAGAGGTCAGTGTTGGACTCTTAACCACATTTCTGTGCAAGTTGAAGAGACTAACCTATCTAGCGCAAACTCCAATCTATATCTTAAAGACTGTGGAAATTAATCTGAAAAATTTACGGGCATCATAAGCTACACCGATGGGACCATTAATATCAAAATGATGATTATATTTCACCGATAGCGAATGAGATCTTCAAAAGTTATGAAAATTATGAACTAACATAACTCAAATTTAAAACTTAAAGACTACTAATTAATCGCCACTATTACACCTAGATTTTTCAAAACCTGAGCCGTTTTCTATTAGATATGTCACCGATAGAGAATGAAATCTTCAGAAGTCAGTGTTGGACTCTAAAATTCACTTCTATGAAGAGACTAACCTACCTAACGCAAACTCCAAACTATGACTTCTGGACTCTAGAGAGTTTAGGGGCATCATAATTTAGAACCTACACCGATAGGACCATTAAGATCATGCCTATGAAATTCTCTGTCACAGATAGAAAATGAAATCCCCGAAAGTCACCGTGCAAGATAAAGAGACTAACCAACATAACACAAACTCCCATTTAAAGCCTACAGAGTACGGAAATTAATCGGCAGAAGTTAGGGGCATCATAATGATATAAGATCTACACCGATAGAACCAAATCATCAGACTACGGAAATGAATCGACAAAATTTAGGCCAGACACATATTTTCGGCTCTATCGGTCAAGAACTGCCGGAGTTAGGGTCAAAGGGGGTCCACTTTGGAAAAAATAATAAACATTTATTTAAAAAAAATGATTTTTTGGAAACAGTGAAAAAACTTCTTTGGACAATTCATCCAAATCGGAAGACATCGATTTTAAAAGTTGGGTCACTTGACATGAAATTGCCCTTATATAAAATGCCCAAAGATAACATAAAAATCCATATAGTGGAAATGATAACAATAAGAAACATTTAAGCAAAAACCAAAGTACCATTTTTTAAGTACCCTTTAGTAATTAAATAATACTTAAAATTAATATTTGTAATAAAAATATCAACATTTTCCCATCATCATAAAAATTACTGGCAAACCAATAGACGGATATGATCCATTAAAGTAATTTGATGAATATAAAAATACAAATTATAAAAAAATTTAAATAATTATTTAAAAAATCCTCTCTCTAAAAATTATTTATTATAAAAACAAAAAAACTTTCGTAAACTCTCTTTGTACTAATGACGTGATGTTTTGTTTTAAAATTCATTTCATTATTTTATTTATTTCGCTTTTTTGTTTTTGACAAATGTCTAGTTTAACCAGTTAGTATACAATTTAGCCATAATCATCGTCATGTTTAGACACACCAAAGTAATTAATTTTATTTAAGCACACTCTACGCTATGAGCGGTGAAGTTGAGTTTATCATTTGATATGGAATTTTTTAAAATATTTTTTAGATTATTTAAATAAGTTCTTGTATCCAGTTGTAAAGTGATAAAATCAGTGAACTTTTGCAATTATTTTGATACTAAACTATAGTGTAGAGTATCTATAATTCGTTATTACTTAACATATATTATTTGTCTACATTTAATAATTTCAAATCTACATTTGAATAACAAAATGTAATGCGAAGAATTTTTTAAAGAAATTTTAATAATCTTTTTATTATTGTTATTGGGTAATTAAGTAGTTAGACAAACAACTTAAATAAACAACAACACTTAAAACCAGTTAAATTACTATACTTTTGATTTGGCTTTGTTTTTATTTTGACCATTGTTGTTAGCAAAAGTGATTTGTTGTTTATATACCAAAAAATTATTAACATAAATAATTTTCACATAATTTATTAATACAGCAACAACAAAATCCATCATGAACTAAGAAATTATGTAAATTAACTTCACAAATAAACATCCACCACTCTCAGTTCTTTTTAGATTTTAGATGTCAAGAAATTTGTTTGTTACACTTGTTAACAAAATATGAATGAAACCAATTAAGAAGTTTTGCCAAAATCATAGTAAAAGAAGTGTTAATTATTTTTGTCATATTTTTGTGGGAAGTAGTATGATGTATGACAGAAATATTTGTCTTTCATATTTAAATGATTAAGCACAAGTGTGAAGTGACATAATTTTGTTACCAACTATAGAAGTTCTTTTGAGTCTTGATGTTTGTGTTATGAAGGTATGATTATAATATTACGATTATGAATGCAAATCACTAAGTAATATTTAACGAGCAATATCCTAATTAGGTTTTATGAGCAAAAGTAGAAAATAAGTAAAAATATGAAAAAAGGTAAAATAAATAGCAAACCTTATTTTTCACTATATGATAGAAAGCGTGTAAAATAATATTCATTGTTATTGAATTCCATAATTATAGACTCCCTTTACATTATACTTTTTAACTTCAACTTCGTTCCCTGTTATTACAAAAA